TCACACCTGTAATCCCAGCACTTTGGGAGGCCGAGGTGGGTGGATTACAAGGTCAAGAGATCGAGACCATCCTGGTCAACATGGTGAAACCCCATCTCTACTAAAAATACAAAACATTAGCTGGGCATGGTGGCACGTGCCTGTAATCCCAGCTACTCAGAAGGCTGAGGCAGAGAAATTGCCTGAACCCAGGAGGCGGAGGTTGCAGTGAGCCAAGATCACGAAACTGCACTCCAGCCTGAGTAACAAGAGCAAGACCCTGTCTCAAAAAAAAAAAAAAAAAAAAATGTCAACTAAGCTATAGGGACAAAAAATGGTTATCTGAGACCAGTGGTGGAAAGGGTTGAACAGCAAAGCGGGGCAAGGAATGTCTTGGGGACAACGGAAATATTCTATAGCCCGGCTATGCTAGTGGTTCCACTGAATCGTACTATAAATGGCTGTAGTTAATTGCATATAAAGTTTTCCTCAATCAAACTGATTAATATATAAAGAAAACGTCAGCCAGGCACGTTGGCTTAGGCCCGTAATCCCAGCACTCATGGGAAGCCGAGGCAGGCAGATCACTTGAGGTCAAGAGTTCAAGACCAGCCTGGCCAACATGATGAAGCCCCATCTCTACTAAAAATACAAAAGTAAGCAGGGTGTGGTGGCGTACACCTATAATTCCAGCTACTCAGGAGGCTGGGACAAGAGAATCGCTTGAACCTGGAAGGCAGAGGTTGCAGTGAACCGAGATCATGTCACTGCACTCCAGCCTGGACAACAGGGCAAGATTGAGACTCCATCTCAAAGAGGAAAAAGAAAGAAAATGTGATGCATATATACAATGAAATATTACTCACTCAACGAAATTCTGACACATGCTACAGCATGGATGAAAGCTGAGGACACAATAAGTCAAACAGCCAGACTCCTCAAGGCAAATACTCATGACTACACTCACGAAGCACCTAAAATAGTCAAAATCAGGTCAAGCAGTGGCTCATGCCTCTAATTCCAGCACTTTGGGAGGCCAAGGCAAGTGGATCACCTGAGGTCAGGAATTCCAGACCAGCCTGGCCAACGTGGTGAGCCCTCATCTCTAGTCGGGAGGCTAAGGCAAGACAATCACCTGAACCTGGGAGGTGGAGGGTGCAGTGAACCGAGATTTTTTGAGAGCGAGACTCTGTCTCAAAAAAAAAAAAAAAGAATAGTCAAAATCACAGAAACAGAGAGTAGAAAGGTACCTGCCAAGGACTAGAGGGTGGGAGCAGAGTGAATTCATGTTTAATTAGTTTCAGTTTTCCTTCCTCCTTTTTTTTGAGAGAGGGTCACGCTCTGTCACCCAGGCTGGAGTGCAGTGGTACAAACACACCCCACCACATCCTCAACCTCACGGACTCAAGTGTTCTTCCCACCTCAGCCTCCCAAGTAGGTGGGACCACAGACACACACTACCATGCCTGGCTAATTTTTGTTTGTTTTTTTGTGATCTTACATGTTACTCAGGCTGGTCTAGACTGCCTCAAGCAATCTCCTGCCACGGCCTCCCAAAATGCTGAGATCACAAACCTGGGCCACCTTACAGACCTGAGCCGCCATGACTCGCCAAGTTAGTGGGTATTTTTTGTTTTGGTTTTAATGACAGGGTCTTGCTATGTTGCCCAGGCTGGTCTAACGACTCTTGGACTCAAGCAATCCTCCTGCTTCAGCCTCCTACAGTGCTGGGGTTACAGGCATAAACTACAATATCCAATCAAGTTTCCAATTTCAAAGATGAAAATGTTTGAGCGATCTTTTGTAAAACAATCTGAAAATACTTAACACCATGGAATTACAAAGGTAAAGATGGTTAACAGGGTAGATTTAAGGGAGAGAAAAAGAGGATAAATTTAAAGTGAGATGCTTTTGCCAAACATACAAATTTATGTGTGTGTATATATGTATATATGCTCCTATACAGAAAAATTGATCACCATGTGGCCCATGACAGGAATCTAAGCCCTCAACCACATCTTGGCTAGAACCAGCACAGGCTGGGCAAAGTCACTGTAAATCCTTTGTGTGAGCCAGCCCAGGCCTACACCCACATGTCCACCCACAGCCAGCATAGGACACCCTTCCCTACCTATACCATGCCCCTCCCTCCCCTGGCCAGGCTCATACCTGCTTCCTCCCACGTTCCCCAGTCCATCTCCAGCACCACCACCCTCCCTGACAACTAACATGGATACTATCGTTTCCAAACTTACATTTTTCGCATTCCCCTTGGGTCTCCCCGACCTGGTCAGCTCCATCCCCGTACTGCCCTCTCCAGTCACCTCTTGCTTGCCTGGCACAGGGCCTCTCCCACTCCCTCCACACTGGTCTCTCAGCCCCAGCCTGCTCTGTATCTCTTATTGATCCCCCACACAGTAGGTCAGCTCCCGTGAAACCCAGCTACATTCACATCACTCCCTGCTTTAAAAACCTTTCATCTGCCACGTTTGGTAACCCACAACTGTAATCCCAGCACTTTGGGAGGCCAAGACGGGCGGATCACGAGGTCAGACGTTCAACACCAGTCTGGCCAACATGGTGAAAACCCATCTCTACTAAAAATACAAAACTTAGCTGGGTGTAGTGAAACACGCCTGTAATCCTAGCTATTCAGGAGGCTGACGCAGGAGAATTGAAGGGAGGCAGAGGCTGCAGTGAGCCGAGATTGCACCACTGGACTCTAGCCTGGCAACAGAGTGAGACTCTCAAAAAAAAAAAAAAAAAAAAAAAGAAAGAAAGAAAAGAAACCAATATAAACAATACAATACAAACAAAAACAAACAAGCCTAAAATTAAAGACATCTATGATGTTAACTGTGGGTTAAAAACAAAACAGGGGCCGGGCGCGGTGGCTCACGCCTGTAATCCCAGCACATTGGGAGGCCGAGGCGGGTGGATCACAAGGTCAAGAGATCGAGACCATCCTGGTCAACATGGTGAAAC